ACAGCAACTAATATCTTAGAAACACACATTAATACCTTGTATAATGTTTAAATCTATTTAAACATATTTATCTCCTCATTTATCTTTTATTTATGGAGAAAACATTCAGAATCCCCTTTTTTAGCTTTAAGAAATATATAGTACATTATCTTTATCTATAATCAGCCTGTTGTGCAGTAGCACATCAGAAGTTCTCCTACATATCTGATTGAAATACAGTGTCCACTGATAATTTTTTCCATCTCTTTTATTTTTGTAATATAAAATTTACAGTTTAAACAAGGCAGTTGAGTATAAATTACATTTAGGGTTAGATGGTCTTTAATCTCAATCTGATAAAAACCATTTATGACAAACCAATAGCCAACATCACATTAAATGGTCAAAAAATTAAGATTTTACTCTAAAATCAGGAACAAGATAAGGATGCCTACTATCACCATTCTTATTAAATATAGATTTGAAAACATTAGCCAGAGCAATTAGACAGAAGAAAGAAATAAAAGAAATAAAGATAGGAAAGGAAGAAGTTTAATTATCATTATTTGCAAATGACATGATACTCTACATAGAGGACCCCAAGAACTCCACCAAAAGATTTCTAGATTTAATAACCAAATTCAGTAGCATAGCTGGATACAAAGTCAACACTCAAAAATCAATAACATTCCTGTACACATATAACAAACTCACTGAAAGTAGGGAAATCATACCTTTCACAATACCATTGAAAAAATGAAATAATTAGGAATCAATCTAGCAAAGGATGTAAAACTATAGTACTCTGAAAATGGAAATTGAAAAAGATATCAGAAAATGGAAAGAAGCTGAACTTTTGTGAGTCATAAAATGCACAAATATGGAACTGAAGAACATTAAGGAGCATCTGTTATTTTATTACTTTTCCTTTTTTCCAAGTTTTTTTCCATATATTAAATAGTTGAAGTCATTCTTTTTTTTTATTAAATTCTTTTATTGGTACATTGTAGGTATACAACACAATTACATTTCTCATTGGGAATTGTACCTTTACATAATGCATCTTG